TACAGGCGCACGCTACCACACCCGACTAATTTTTTTGATTTATTGTAGAGATGAGGTCTCATCAAGTTGTCCAGGCGGGTCTCGAACCCACGGGCACAGGCAATTCACTCACCTTGGTCTCCCAAAGCGCGGGATTACAGCCTGAGCCCAGTCGAAAAAAAAAAATCTCAACAGAAACTTAACTACAATTACCTGTGTCCCTTCAACACTTGTAATAGTGGCTTCGTCTATTTTAAAAGAACGTTGAATAAGAGCTAATTGCTCTCAAGAGAGCCATATGCCTATTCTAAGAAAAAAAAATCTCATATCTGAATAGGTAGGTCTCAGAGCTGAGTACAAAGGCATCACACAATGGCAGTTTGGATTAAATAAACCTTCTGAAGGAGAAAACCATAATAATCAGTAACTACTGAGCTAATCATGGGCCTCGTGATTTGCTGATGTACACAAGGGCCTGGCACATTGTAGGAACCCAGAATTCGGCTGTCAGGTATTAAATGACAACTGCCTCTCTGACTCCCCGAATCTCTTTGTTACCTTCAAGCTCCTCCACAGCCCGCATCCCTCAATTAAACTCCACAGACCAGTTTCTTCTCTATCTTCCCAATCTATCTTTTCTTTTGCAGCTTTTTCCCCAATGTCTATGTCCTTTACCACTGAAGCAAGAACTTAAGATGTTTTTCCATCAAAATATATTTTATATTCTAATTCTAAAGTGGCTTCTACATTTTTTACTAGGATCCATGTAAACAAATTTAACGTTGAGTTCACTTTATATATGGATATATAAAGTGAACGAAAGCTACATGAACAATAGTAACCTTACTATTGTGATGGATTTTGACATTTTCTATTTCTTTTTTTAAAAACAGATGATGTTTCCACTATACTTACTTATAAACGCACTAATGGATCTACCTGAAGCCTAAAAACACTGCTGTATGCAATTTAACTTTATTACCATTTGGAAAAAAGACATGAAAAATCAAGGGAAAAAATGCAAATATATTTCAAAATTCAAGGACATTTTTTTGGATGTCTTCTTAACCACATGCAGGTAATTTGAGAAATATGAAGTATGCCTCTGGCTTATTATTCTATCCAGACTTACTCTACAGTGATACTTCTAAATTTAAATGATTAGCACCAATCAAGTGAAAGATGAATCTGGGTTCCTGTGTTGTTTCTCTACAAATATTAAAACTGTACGCTATAGTTTAAAATTTAGTTTTAGAATACTCTTTAAAATCCATCTTTTACATTGCTTATTTTGCAACAAATCATTGATCTATGCGTTTCACTTTGTACACTTTTATGTATATTCTATCACACAATAAAAAAGTTTAAGAAAGTCTATTAGTTTGCATTTTTAAGAATGAAGTGCCCAACCACCATATTAATAAACAGTTCAAGCAAAAAACATCAGTGGCTTTTTGGGTGAAAAACTGTTGAGAAGCAATGCAGTCGTACAGTCTCAAAGTTTCATGCCAAAGAACACTTTGTAAGCCGGGCTCGGTGGCTCAAGTGAGTGGATTGCCTGAGCCTGTGGGTTTAAGACCCGCCTGGGCAACTTGGTGAGCCCTCATCTCTACAATAAATTAAAAAAAAAAATTAGCTGGGTGTGGTAGCGCACGCCTGTAGTTCCAGTTACTTGGAAGGCTGAGGCAGAAGGATCACCCACTGGAGCCCAGCAGGTTGAGGCTGCAGTGGCCAGGAGCGGCCACTCCACTCCAGTCTGGGTGACAGAGTGTGACTCCAACTCAAAAAAAAAGAACACTTTGTAGTTACAAAGGGAAAAGGGCATCTTTACAATGGCGAGTCTGGTGGACAACACCTTAATCAAACAATCATACTTTAATTCTCCAATGATGGGATAAGTCACTATAAGATGTTTCTGTATATGTGTATATGAGATATACGTATATACATTTCCAGTGCACAACAGTCTGGACTCTTAAAAACTATCTGTCTTTTTTTTTATTTTTTTTTATTTGGAGTCTTACTTTGTTGCCCAAGCTGGAGGCTGGAGTGCAGTGGCACACTCATGGCCACCACAGCCTCGACCTGCTAGGCTCAGGTGATCCTTCTGCCTCAGCTTTCCAAGGAGTTGGAACCACAAGCGCATGCCACCATGCCCTGCTAACTTTTTTATTTTTTGTAGAGACAAAGTCTGGCCAAGTTGCCCAGGCTGGTTTCGAACCCCTGGACTTAGGCAATCCTCTCACCTTCACCTCCCAAAGTGCTGGGATGACAGGTGTTAGCCACTGTGCCTGGCTCTATCCATGTCTTAAAAGACAAAAAAGGCAGTGGGCAGAACTGTTCTAGATTAAAGAGAGTAAAGAAGATACGACCACTAAGTTCATGCATGCTTTTCGACTGAACCCATGATGAGGAGAAAGTAGCTTTAAAGGACAATGACGGAAATCTGAACATGGATAGGTAATATTTTTCAAATGTGGAACTGCACGGTTGTCATGCAGAAAAATACTCAGGTATTTACGGATCAAAAAGTGCAGAACAATAATGCTTCAGGTACAAATAATTAACTCCAGGTCAGGTGTCTTAAAAACAACATTGCCGGGCCTGGTGGCTCACACCTGTAATTCCAGCACTTTGGGAGGCGGAGGGTTGAGTCCAGGGGTTTGAGATCAGCATGGGCAACTTGGCAGGAACTTCCTCTACAATAAATCAAAAAATTAGCCAGGTCCGGTGGCACATGCCTGTAGTTCCAGCTACTTCGAAGGGTGAGGCTGAAGGATTGCTGGAGCCAAGCAGGTCAAGGCTGCGGTGGTAGTGAGCTTGCCACTGTCCTTCAGCCTGGGCAACAGAGTGAGACTCCAAAAAAAAAGAATGAGCAAGAATGGGGAAAAACTGTGTGTGGTGGCTCACGTCTGTAATCTCAGCACTTTGGGAGTCCAGAGGCTCAAGACCAGCCTGGGAAACTTGGCAAGACCTCCTCTCTACAATAAATCAAAAATTTAGCAGGGCGTGGTGGCACGTGCCTGTAGTTTCAGCTACTTGGAAGGCTGAGGCTGAAGGATCGCTTGAGCCCAGGAGGTCGAGGCTGCAGTGGCTGTGAGCATGCCACTGCCCTCCAGCAGTGGGTCACTAAGACTCCGACTCAAAAAACAAACAAAAAAACAACATTTACAAAGGCGCGACGATGCCTGTCTTCATTGGGCACACAGTGAAGAACCCCTCAGCGTGGATCCTGTGCGATGGCCATCAGGTGGGCAGCAGCATCCTAAGCCGCCACCCATGTGCTCCATGTGGCGTGTCGGCACAACCTCAGGTGGCATCTTCACCCGGGGGGCCTGGGACAATCAGGGGCCGAGGCGGGGGAAGAGGAAATTAGACCCGATTTCCCCAGCGTACAGGTGAGGGTCACCTGCTCCAGGCCAGCCTGTGGTCCCTCTGGGGACGAGTTCCTCGCTCCCTCCGCGACTCCGCTCACGGCCTCCCCTCCCGTCCTTCGCCCCCATCAGGAGTCCCAGGCCCCCGGGACCCACTCGCGACGCCTCCTGCTTCTTCCCGACCCCGCACGCCGAGGTCGGCGCCGCTCCCAGCCCGCGCACTCACCACGGCGCCCGCCCCCTGCGGGCCGTTCGGGGTCGTGTCTGCCATGGGGGAGGTCCACGCGGGCGTCTACGACGCGGCAGTCGCCGAGACAGAGGAAAAAGGGGACGCACCGTCAGCGCCGGG